CATCTGCCTCCACCACCACCATCGTCACCGACCACTAACACACCACTATCAACCGCCATCATCGTCGCCCACCACCACCACAGTCACCCATGACTGCCACTATTACCATCGTCACTCAAAATCCACCACCACCACCACCACCATCATTGTTGCCACTCACGACTGCCACCATCATCACGGTCATTGTCACCCACTACAACCATAACCATCTCTCACCACCACTATTACAATCGGTGCTTAAAATCTGTTTTCTCTCATTTATATTTGAGATTTAATTTTGGCTGTAAATACAAATATATTTATTGTTGATAATTTTTTTTATTACTACGTGTCTTCAAGTACGGAAAATAACTAGTAAATAAATAGCATGGGTTGAGCATAGATTAGGTCGTAATTCTTTTCAAAACAATTTCTATTCCAGAAATAATTCTTTGACACAATATTTTCATAGGTAGAATAGCAGTCGTATTTATGATAACTTCACACTAATTTGTACAACTGAACAAAAAAAAGTGGAATACCTTGCTTAAAACTACAAAGTCCACCAATTTATCTAGCTTCGCTTTTTTGAATAGTAAGAGTAAGTTGTCAAATTCTTTGTGATTTATTTAATTCCAACTTGGCCTTCTTTTTATTTTACTTAGCAATAAGGAAAAAGTGGGAGTACACGAGTCAGCTGGTCCTAATTCCCAACCTAGAACTCCACTGCATACAGTTTAATACGTTTTGCCAATACAATGGACTAGAATATTCAATAGGGTCCATCAATATTATTAAAAATTAACACGTGTAAATTTTATTTATTTTTATTTTAATATTTTTTTTATAGTCAACGATTATAAATTAATCAAATCAAAAATTAAGACCATTAATAAATTTTAGTTCAATATCACAAAAAAAAAAAAAAAAAAAAAATCATCGGTGCGGTAGCCACGTCTATTCGATATGCTAAAATAACATTGTTCTATAAATATGGTCAGAAGCTTTAATAGACTTATTCCAATGTGTCTGAAAATATTCAAAAATGAGGGGAGAGTGAGAAACATGGTTTGGTCCAAGTCTTGGTTTACTACGACAAGCATGTTTGCTTAGAACCACACGACACATAATATTCTTTTTTGGAGGGCTTGTGCTTGAAAGGGTGAAGAAGTGAAGCGATTTTTCATTGATGCTAAATAGACGAATGGATGTCAATGTACATGTTGACCATGGAGTCCAGAAAATGCCAAAAAGTAAAAATAATTATTTTCATAAAAGTGATTTAAATTACAGTAAACGCCATGAGTTCCATCCCATACTTGTACGTTATTTACTTTTGTCTATGTATTCATGATCACGAATAAAGTTTTTGTGGACCTTACGCAAAAGAACAAATGATGACACCGATGGCTGTATTTTCTTGCAAGTGGGGCATGCTTAAACCTCGGACAGTTTCCTGAAAAGGACAGATGACGTGGCTCCATATTTGGCGGCCGTACTTGTTTTCATGCCAGGAACTTAAGCGGCTGACGTGGATGCATGATTTTTAGGTAATATTTATCAATCTAACACATTTTTGAAACAAATTTATTAAAATATAATATTTTTATCAAATTATAATATTTTTTTAAATAAAATGAATAATTCTGCTTTTTTATTTACAAAAACGATGATAACAATCTCACTTTTTGGAGGGTTCAAATTTTTGATTGGTCGTAATTTCTTAACATATTCGATCCTACCTTACCATACTAAACTGTTAATCGCAAAAAATTGGGTACGAATACAAAAGAGTTTTTGGTCTTCCAATTAAATCAGGTAAAAATGCTAAATAATCATCAATTTTCGGATTTCTATCCTACCCTACGCGAAAAAATTATATTTAAATTTTTTTATATTTTTTTAGTAATTATAAGAGTATTTGATTGATATAATTTATATTATAATATTGTTATTGTTGTGGATATTTGAATTGGTAAAATATGAACTTATTTTTTGTGTAAGTTACATTATTTGTGGTAAACTGGTGATCTATTTGAACAATTATGATTTTAACATATTTCATATGGTTTAAATTTAAAATAATTGTTATTGTATTTGTGTATTTATAATGGATTGATGTTCATTCTTTCTTGTATTTTATTGTAATTGTTTTAAATTTTAGTGTTATTGATTTATTGTGTTGTTAAATTGGTGCATGTTATTTAATTGAATTGTTAAAATGATTCAAAAATTCATAGTTACAAAAATGTTTACTCGACTTTTTACCCGATTAATCGGGTAGGAATATCACACCTGATTGAATAGAATAAACCAAAAAAAACAAATTTCAACAAAATATCGGATAAAAATACGAAAAATTATATTTTCTAACCTACGGGTAGGATAAACTTCTACCCACTTTTAACTAAAAAATCTGACCAATACCAGTGAAAAGGAAAATTATCTTTCTTTTTGCGTCTTTTGGTTGGTGTTTCCACGAAGCTTCGTTGGGTCCATAATTTCCAATCCCTTCCTACTGTTAAAATAACTGATTAAATGAAGATAGGCAGGAGTAGGCTTACCAATTTGATTAGCTACGCAAATTAAAAAAAATATTGTACCCCATCCTTGAACGTTTGATATAGCCTCACAAGTACTTTGAACCGTTCGTTTGACTTGATTTTTTCTCATAAGCTGTTCAATTTGGATTGGGCGTTCTACAACTCAATCTTGAACAAACCTTAATTAATTAGATAACGAATATAATTTTGAGCAGTCCAATTGATTATACATATTATTATTAATGCTATTTTGTAGTATTGCTCTTAAAAAGTTATGCTCTATGGACTTGTAAAAAATTTTACAAGGGAAGATTTATGGCCATGGTATCGCCACTGGTGCCATGCTTAATCAAAATTAATTACACTCATACATACTTGTTTGAATTATTTTTAAACATTTATTAGAAAAATAATAAAGTTGTAACAAATAATAAAATAAATTCCACTATTTTTGCCTATGTATGCCTTCTTGATCAGATAGGCTAAGCTCGAATCTTCAAATAAGAGGAAACCCGGAATCAATCAGGCCATTAAAGCTGCGAATTGGCTAACTTTACAGGAAGACTTGTGGTAGGGACGTTTGTGGCGACGGGACGCTGCAAAAGTTCCGCGACGCTTTTTGCAACATTGATAATATATCAACGTTATCGATCTTATTGGTCAATAATATATAAAAAAATAAATTTTATATAAATTAATAATTATATAAACTAATAACTATTTAAGCGGATTTATCAACCCACTAACCCCTCGCACTAATCCCTTGCAAATAACTCCACCGTTTCCAACATTGAAAAGATAGACCTACTCGTTGGTCAAAACAACTTCGACGTCATTTCCGGAACCGAACACCGAATTCCAATCCAGTTTACTACATAGTTCAAATAACATTTTATTTTTTCGGTTGCAAAGGCCACCAATTAATTTCTCCAATTTTATTAATGGGCCTTTGATCAAATAGTATTCTTTATTTTATGAAAATTTTAATTTTTTGAAATTAAGTTCAACGTTTTTCCCTCTTTCCTTCCCAAAAAGCAAAAAAAATAAATAAATATTTTCTCAACTTCATTGGTACGAGACCTGAGGGTCCATCCGAGTGACAAAGTCTCTTATTGTTGCACCCTTATGTGCCAAGTTCGAATCCTCTCCTCTACGCTCTAGCACTCTTTAATTACCAAAATACTTTAAGAGCAGTCTCAAGAAATAAAGAGGTCCAAAATTTAATTTTTTTTACTTGAACAAACTCATTTTAATTAAAAAATAATTTGTATTTAATTAAATTTATGAATTCATATGGTCAACGAGTCAAGTTTAAATAATATATAACTCACCTCGATTTATATTAATTATTGTATATAATTGATTTTGAATCAAGTATCAAATAAATGTTATTAATACAATTTTTTTTTTAGTAATGATTGACATCATAGCCAATTGATCCACAACATGAGTTGCTTAAATAAGGTATTTAATAGCAAAATTATTAAAACTAAGCAATTTGATCACATAACGTGATTTAATGACTTGACAATCAAAATACCCTTGTATTATGGGAAAGGCTATGGTACCGAGGTACCGTATCAAAAGTTACAATAATTTTAAGTTAATTTATAATTTTTTTGAAGTGTAAGTTATAATTTTTAAAGGTTAAATTACAATTCAAAAATGCGAAGTTGCAACTATTCAGGGAAAGTCCATAATCGATCATGTGTATTTGTGATCGATCATGGACCCTCGATCAATTATAGACTTCTTCTGAGCGATTGTAACTTTTTTCTTTTGAATTATAATTTCACCATAAAAGTAGTAACTTTCAGTATTATACCGAAGGCGGAACCATAGACTTTCCCTCATATTATTATTAAAAGTATAAGTGTTTCTGTTTTTAATTAAGATTATATCACTTACACTAAATCAAAATATGAAATTACTTTTTTTAATTTTTTTTATTATAAAGTGTCGTGACTTATGCCGATTATGGTCCAACTGACCTCAATTTCAATAGTATTATTATTGTGTGCTACCTGATGTCGGATCCTTTTTGCTTTTCACGTTTATTTGCGGCTTGAAATATTTCGCTTGTGACCTCGAAGGATAAAATCTAACCATGGTTAGCAAACCTCGTGTTAAACAATGGTTAAAGGGTGTCCCTAACCCCTATAAATTGGACCCTCCGGCGTCTCCTTTCTCTCATCACTTCTCTACCACTTACATACTTTCCTTGTAATTTCATGGTGGAGCTCGTAATTCTTTCCATTTCTTTCTTCCTTTAATTTCCCATTGTTCTCTCTTTCATTCGCGTTCATATCTCACTTTCTGGTGCGCTCTCTCTCTCTCTCTCTCTCTCTCATGATTTCCCCTGTTCTTGGTGTTCTTATTAAAAAAAAAGCGAATACTTCCTCATATAATGGACACGAACCTTTTTTCGATTCATAATCACGTGAAATTGAATTGTTGTTATGTTTGTTGCAGGGTGAAATGGCAGCCAACGGGAACGGACGTGTGAATTTGGCGAACCGAGGTGCTGGTCGGAACGGACTAGCGAAGATCCAGACGCAGACGAGGCAGAACGGAATATGCCACGACGACAGTGCACCTCCGGTGAAAGCTCAGACGATCGATGAGCTTCATTCTCTTCAGAAGAAGAAGTCGGCGCCTACCACTCCCATTAACGGGACTCAAGGTGCTTTTGCTGCGATTTCCGATGAAGAACGCCAGAAACAGCAGCTCCAGTCCATTAGGTATATAATCATACATTCACATACCAACTCGCATGTCATCAATAACCATATCATAACATGACCCCGCATAACATCAATAACTAGCGAATCATAAAATCCGTTAAAGCAGGGTGAGATTCCCTCTGACTAAATATTTTTTTAAGAAAATACTATTTTAATTTAATTTTAAAATTTAATTAAATGTAACTATTAAAATAAAAATAAATTTTACTTAGCATTAAAATTTATAATTAATCTAATTATTATATTAAATTAAATCTTCAAATTAAGTCTATGCAACATTACTCTCCTTTTATTTTTTCAAATCATCTATTTTTTTTTCGAGTGAGATTTATTTGTGTACAAGTTAGTCCTTGTGGGGGTGAAAAAGGAAAAATAATAAAAGGAAATTGGGTGGAAAGCGGGGGTGAAAAAAAGAAAAGAAAAGAAATCAAGATTTGGAAAGCGCCCTTGATCTAGGGGTCACTGTCATACGGAGAAGTTTGAATTGCAAGACAGCAGAGAACACGATGAAGATGAACTTTTACCACGATCAAGCATTTCAGTGGGTTGTTATCCAGAACCAAAACCGTAATTAGGTGGGCCCTCCAATCTTACGTGTCAGGCACTTATACTGCCACGTTTTTTGATGCCACTTTTGTTTTTTTGAACAGGGATGCCACATTCGATAGCCTTTGGATCCAATGCAATGTGAAAATTTAAAAAAAAAAAAAAAAGATTAAAACTTCTTTTTTTTATTTAATAGAAGATCTTGTTTTATTGGATTTACAAATCTCCTCTACGGAAATCTTCATTTTTACAATTAGAAATCTTTGTCCGTGACATGTTTTGGACTCTTAAATACTATCTAATTTTTTAGAAGAATCATCCAAAAAATATATATATAGTTTTTCTTTTGCAGTTGGAAAATAGAAAATTTTGAGGGAGAATTGCTGAAAGACTTGCTTTTTTCATATTTCATTTAATTATTTCCTAACTGTGTTGCTGATCTTCTCAAACAGTGCCTCTTTGGCACGCTGACGAGAGAGACTGGACCAA